GATTCAATTCAAACAGTTCAAACGCTCACCGATTCAATTCAAACAGTTCAAACGCTCACAGATTCAATTCTAACAGTTCAACATTCAATGATTCAATTCAAACGCTCACTGATTCAATTCAAACATTCAATGATTCAATTCTAACAGTTCAAACGCTCACAGATTCAATGCTAACAGTTCAAACACTCACAGATTCAATTCAAACAGTTCAAACGCTCACCGATTCAATTCAAACAGTTCAACGTTCAATGATTCAATTCAAACAGTTCAAACATATACTGACTCATCAGCGTTCAGGGATTCAGTGATTAGTTTAACGGAGGGAGGCTAAAGCCCATCCTGCATGGTTCTTTTAATTTTCAACTAGTTCATGATCCAGCAAGCTCAAGATTCAGTTAGTTCAAGATTCGACCAGTTCATGATTCAAACCATCTTCACGGCATCTCTGAACATAATAACCAGCTACCCATAAAAGGAAACCGCGAAATACTTGTTCATCTCGTCAAGTCTGTCTTGAAGCGTCAGCCGCTGTGAATCTGCAAGTTCAGATCAGTCATCAGTCGCCATCTTTTGATTCATTGCCAGCTCTCATCCGTAGCTAATTTGCAGGAAGTCAGGTCTCAATCACATTATTAAAGTTCCAGTGAATTAGTCCAAAAACTCTCCTCTTTAGCTTCTGAGATCAGATCAGGCCGTAAGCTTTGTGCACACATGCTCCCATACAGGTGTAGGCCCGCTTCCCTTTTAATTCTTTGCTACATTAATCAGCAGCTGTGACACATCGCCCTCCTGTGGCCTGGAGACCAGCAAAACAGTTTAGGATGGTTTAAGCTCCTTTCTGTTTTCTCCAGCTGCACTCCTATAAAAGTGCCATTTTTTTTCAGCATACTGCATATTAATCCAGTTATAATATCACATCTGTTGAGCCTCGGTGTGTGTTTATACAGTAAATAAGATATAAATATCTGATAAAATAGGGCTGATAGAGAGACACACACACACACAGACTTCATTCTCTCTCTCTCTCACCTGCTGTCTGTCATCTTGACAACCGTTGCCGCCAGTGAGGCAGACTTCCCGTGGAAACCTGTTGTCGTCTGTGTGGTGAATCTCTGTTGCTAGCGTGCAGCAATTTCAGTCTGTTTTACAGAACATGTGCCGCACAGAGAGATTCCACACACCACCCCACACACACATCACACCACATCCATCTCACACACAACACACACACACAATCATAAACACACACACACACACAATCATAAACACACACACACGCAATCAAACACACACACACACACACACACTCTCAGATACACACACAATCATAAACACACACACACACACACTCTCAGATACACACACACACACAATGTATTATAAATATAATTTATCAGTTATCAAATACACTTTTTGCACCACACATTATATTATTTTTAATAAATATATATACTAGTTATATATCTATTTTTATTTTATATTTTTTTTCATTTAATTTATTGCTTTATTTAATTTTAATATATTCAATTAATTTAT